TTATCAAGAGTACTCTGAATAATGCTTACCTGTGCATCTTTTTTTCTGCCTTGATGGAGTCCAACATTTTGTACTTTGTGCGCTCAGTGTTGCAAATTATCTCTCAAGAATTCCTTTAATAAACAAATTTGATTTTGTTTTTTTTTTCTTCTTGCAGGCGTCACATTCTTGGGTGTCTCCTACTCATTTTCACAGCTACTTTCCCCCATGTTGGTAAAGTTCACCTCCACCACGTTCTTTGGACTGCAGGTGTCTGTGCTCTCTCAAATGGTGGATGCTGTTAACATTCCGACTCCACTTAATGTTTTCAGCACTGTCATTTTTTCATTTCTTTGCTGTCGTTTCATTTTTCTTGGCCAATTCCTCCTTTGGTTTATCCATGTCTAGTGTTATCACAGGTAGACAAGGAGGCAGCACTGTTGTATGCTTTGCAGTTTGATGTGACTAGTCACTGATCATGGCGCTCATTTGTTATTCATGTAGTGATTTGTGAATTGAAGAGTGGGCAGCATTTGGACTTTTTTGCAGTTACAGCTAATATATGGTACCTGAAATTTGAGCCATGTTGGGGGATTGGTGTGAATTAACTGCTTCATGGTATGAACTACAGTAACTGAAATTTGTGTTTATTAGAACCATGCTAACTGACAGACTTGTAATTTTTAAAAGCCAGACAAAAAGAAAATTTTCAAAACATTTTCTTTTCTGCTTGAGTCCTTGATATTAGCTCCTCTTTCAATGTCCTCATTAGTCCTTCCTTTTTTACTCTGCGTAACTATAGCCGATGTATGGGTAGGTCCCATTTACAAATCGTCATTTGTAGTTGGTTGTGATTATTGCATTCTTTATTTATTTATTTATTTATTTTTTGGTGGCAAAGCAAGGCTATATGCAAAAGTCGAAGGGAGGCAATCCCCATACCATTGCCATTAAGTCAGTCCTGATTCAGTTATCCAATAGCGCCAGAACATATGCTTTGCATTCCTCCCTTCCAATATGAGTAAAATGTAGCAGGAACACAAAAACTCTCTGGGGTCAGCCAGCTGACAAAAAGGTAGAGAGGGCCAGCCCTCTGCCCTTGGCTTTCTTTCCTCTGTGATGAGTTTTCTTATCTCCAGGCCCTTCTGCAAGGTTATAGCAGTCTCATGGATGCTCTTGGGGCTGGAATTCTGGCTGGAGTAAGAGCTATTGCATTCTTTATTATTGTGGTAGAAGTAGTAGTGAGTGGTGCTGTATGTAAGGTTTGCATTGGTTTTCAGCAACACATGGAAAGGAGTGAAAAAAGGGATACACACTTGAAAAAAAGGCTGACTTCAGCATTTTCATGTGACAAGTTTGGTTTTTTTTACCTAGAGAGGAAACATTTTTAAATCCTTTGTAATTTTCATCATGCAGGTACAATCTCTGTTAATAGAACCCTTTTGGTATAGTGGTTACTCATTGGGCTGTGATCCAAAAATTCAGCAGTTTGAAAATCACCATCTGCTCTGTGGGAGAAAGATGGGATTTTCTGCTCCTGTGAGAAGTTATAGTCTTGAAAACTCAGGGACAGTTCTACCTTGTCCTGTAGGGTTGCTATGAGTTGGCAGCAACTTGATGGCAGTGAGTTTGGTTTTGAGTTATTCACCAATACTTTTGGTTTTTTTTACATGTTCATATACTCTTTCACATACAGAAAACAGTAAAATGGGTTTCTGTTATACATACTACTTCTACATGGATTTCCATACCCTAAACAAATTTCTAAAGCTTTTAATTCTGTACAATTTAAAAGAAAAACCAGAGAGTATAGTTGTCATTCAATTTCAATGGTTTACACTACACAGCCAATCTGTTTC